AAATCTAAAAGATAAAAAAAAAAAACTGCATTGAGTAAGAAAATAAGTTTAGTTTGTTTGATTTTTTGATTAAATCAGTTAAAAATTAAAAAAATAATATGTTAATCTGTTCAGTTTGAATTCTTAAATTTAAAAACTTAATAAACTGAAATCAATTAAAATTTTTAACTTTTTATATTAATAATTATATATATTAAATTAATAATTACAAAATGCACTAGTTGCTTATTTAGAAAGTGATCATATATATTAAATTAATAATTATATATACATATTCACCCATTTAATTATGTATATGAATATTTTCATTAATTTTTTAATTAATACCTTTATAAAATTTTAAAAACTAAGTTTTATTAATTTATTTTCAGTTATTTAATTATTAATCAAACTGATATAATATATTTAGTCGATTTAGTTTTGATTTATTATATACAGTTTGATAAATTATTTTAGTAAATTGTTTAATTTTTTAAAATTTTTTAACTAAACTGACTGAACAACTAAATATTTTTCTATACAACATAAATATAAAACACACAAGAATATGTCAATAAAATTCACAAATTCTGTGTATAAACAATTAAAAAATATTGTGATAAATTGGAAACATATTTATATACCTAATTGAGTTCACCTTCGGTTCTAGTTTGTGTAAAAGTCAATGTTAATTCATTTTTTAAATCTGGAAAGAATCTAACTTTTAATGACGATTATTAAATTAAAAAAAATAAAATAATTTTTGTTATTTAGTTAAAGTAATTATAATATTTTTTAAATGGTATATTTCCATATTTCAGATTCTAAGTAGTCCAGTTTGCCCCTTCACTTGAGCACGCCGTCTATTCCGCCGTCACTCGGCCCTCCGGACGACTCCACCTTAAATCTCGCCTGGATATTAGCCTTCAGACACAAACCCTAATATATATATATATATATATGTGTGTGTGTGTGTGTGTGCGTGCACTCACACCACATTTGAAGGCAGATCTTCTCCCAAACAATTCCCTATCAATTCTCAGTGGTAAAATTCTCGGGAGACAAGGAAAAACTTTCAGTTGAAAATGGTTATGGGCGCCAAACTCTCATCAAGATTCATTATCTTCGCTTTTACATTTCTCCTGTTAGTGGGTTTCTTGACAATCTCCGGTGCTTCTGATCCCACTACCGATGGCGTGGAAAATGACGAATCAGACGATCTTGAACAACTGTTAGCCTTAGACGAAGAGGAAGAGCAACATGAAGTAGTCCATGAGAGACTCTCGGAGGCGGACGTGTTGAGTAAGGCACAAAGGATTGTGCTTGAGCTTAACAGTGATAACGCCAAGAGGGTAATTGATAATAATGAGTATGTGATGGTTCTTGGTTATGCTCCTTGGTGTCCAAGGAGTGCTGAGATAATGCCCCACTTTGCTGAAGCTGCAACCTCTTTAAAGGATCTAGGAAGTCCCCTTTTGATGGCTAAACTTGATGCTGAGAGATATCCCAAAGTGGCTTCCCAGCTTGAGATCAAAGGGTTCCCTACTCTGCTTCTGTTTACAAATGGCAGTTCTCAGATGTACACAGGTGGATTTTCCGCGTAAGTGGTTTTCACCCTGGTAATTTAGAGTTAATTGTGTGTAGCATTATGTTTGAAGCATAATCATTTCCATGCTTTGGACTAGAGTTTGAAACAACTGGTTTGTTTATTTGGAATTCAGGGAGGATATAGTCATTTGGGTCAGGAAGAAGACTGGTGCACCTGTTATTAGAATAAGCACGGTGGGTGAGGCAGAAGAAGTCCTGAAAAAGTATCATATTTTTGTTCTTGGCTTGTTTCAAAAATTTGAGGTATGTGGATTAAGATCCTTGAAATAGATTTCCTATCTCATTTTTGATGCCTTGGACTACAATTATATTGTTGCTGACCGAAACATTGTAGTTTTAGTGAGTAACTAACCCAACATTTTATCAGGAGAAATTGTGTTATACTGAGAAGAAATTCTACCGGTCTTTTCCTTTCTTCACTTATTATGTGGTCTGTTGCACTTTATGTGTATGTTGTTGTTCCCGTGGTCTTTTATGGTGCCTAATTTGGGATCTAATATTGTGCATTAGAAAATTCAGGTGCCTGGGTGTTCTTTTAAACAGTTGCACTACCCATAGTTCATGAAGTTAATGGGACATAACTATGAGGAATTTTAAAAATCAAAATTGGGTTGATGGTAATAGCTGGGAAACTATTTTCTTTTTCCAAGGATCAACAGCTGTGGAGGCTTAAGTGCTTGCAGGTGGCTATTATTATTTACTTGTAACAATCAAGACAATCTTTGCTATAGCACAATCAAGAGGCATGGTGATTGAAGAGGCCTACAGGGACATCAGCGGCAGCACTGAATGGATGGTGAATGTTACTAGAAATCTGAATGATTGGGAAGTTAGTGAGTATGAAGCTTTATTACAAGTACTCGCTGCACAACAGATTAGCTCCGGTTCGGACCAGATTCTATGGAAATTGAAACAGAGTGAAGAATTCTCAGTTAAATTCTACTATAAACATATTGTATGGATTGGGCAGAGTAGGAGTCACAATTTTCTGGTTCATTAAATTTGGAAATCTAAGCTGTCTTCTAGAATTTCTTTTTTTGCTTGGGATGCTAGTCGGGAATGCGTCTTGACTATTGACAAACTGATGACAAGAGGTCAGATTATGGTAAATAGGTGTTGCTTATGCATGAACACAGCAGAATCTTGCAACCACATCCTTTTGTGGTGTCCTACAGCTTATGATTTGTGGTGCATGATTTATGGTTATTTTGGAATTAATTGGGTCATTGTGGGGTTGGTCAATGAGGAAATCTGGGCATGGCACGGGTTATGTAAAAAGAGAGAGTTGTAAAATTGATTCTATTGACCATTTTTTGGGTCCTATGGAAGGAGAGAAACAATAGAGCATTTGAGAGTAAAGAGGTAGAAAGCTATAGATTGAGAGATATTAAGACATGATATTATTAGAGATGAGGATTTCGTGAATGTCCTTGACACACTAACACAATTGTAATTTTTTTTACATGGATGGTACTCCTTTGGTACCTTGTTAATATATATTCACACTTTTTATGTCAAAAAAAATTATTATTTGCTTCTATCTGTCTGATTTATTCTTACAATTCAATAGGGCAAGCTAACTCAGTTTGCGTGATTTTCCTGAAAATCTCCCTCAAAATCCACTGCATTGGGCGGATATGAGAACACTCGGAATGTTAATCTTTTACATGTCATGTAATGTTTGAAATGTGAACTCTTTTTTTGTTTTTTTTG